GCCAGTGGTCAGCAAGCTCAGAGAGTGACGGTGCTGCGGGGAAAAGAAAGCAGGGCGATGGGGCAGACTGGAATACTACCCGGCAAGGAAAAAGAACCGGGGCTTTATGCGCTACGGTGGGGAACGTCAGAGATGCTATGGACTAAGTAAAGGCCAACACAAGAGAGACTATAGTGTAGGATCCCCTTTATGTAAAGTTCAAGAACAGGCAAAAGCGATCTGCGGGAATCGGGGTCCAAATAATGGTTATTTGCGGGAGGGGATTGGATCAGGAGGGGCCAAGGGAGCCTGTAGGAGCTGGAACTCTTTGTGTCTTGATCTGGGTGGGTGCACCCTTAGGGGAAAATACATGCAGCTCTACCTGTGAGCTGTGTGCACACTCAAGGCCAGCACGTTATGCTCATTATCTATGGCTGTACGTCAAGTTGCCACAAAACTTAGCAGCAATAAACAATGAGCGTTATTATCTCACGGGGTCCCTGTGAGTTAGGAACAGACTCAGCTGGGTGCCTCTGGATCAGGGTCTTTCATAAAGTTGCAGAAGGGCTGCCGGGGCAGTGGGGGGCGGCTCCTCATAGCTACCTGGCAAGATAGTGCTGGTTATTGCCAGGAGAGCTCAGTTCCCTCCCGCATGGACCTTTCCGTGGGGCTGCCAGAGTGTCCTCATGACGTGTCAACCAGCTTTCCCCAAAATGAGGTTGAAGAGAGCAGTCAGGGAGGAGTCCACGGTGCCTCACCTCCTAGGACTTACTCTCCAGAGTCCTACCCGTTGCTTCTAGTGGATTCTATGTTAGCACCAAGTCACTGGGTCCTGCCCACACTCAAGGGGCAGAGGAATGAAGCTTTACTCCTTAAAAGGAGTAGTAGCAAAGAATTTGTGGGCATATATTAAAACCACTGCACCTGCTATATACCCCAGTTTTAAAACGATTTTATATTTCAAATAAAAGGGGTGATATGATAGAAAGTAATGGGTTTTAGGAAGTGTGTTCCCTGTGCATCCTGAGGAGGTGACGTTTGAACTGAGCTCTGAGTAGGGAGAATCATGAAGACCAAGGGAAAGGCATCAAAGGCAGAGGGAACGGCAAACGCATACGCGTTGCTGCGACACTGAGTTGCTAGAGATTCAGAAAGACCAATATGGCCAATATGGCAAGGGGAAAAAGGGGCGGGGGCGGGATAGACAGAGGTCACGGACGCTGCTGCGGGAAGAAGTGTGAACGTCCTGGGTCTGGGAGGGAGATTAGCAAGGGCGAGGCCCCTCTGGTGAATGTTTTGGACCCTGTGCTGTGGCTGTAGGAATGGGAGTGGAGGCCATCCCCGGAGGAGAGGCGATGGCGGTTTGGATTAGAGCAGTCACAGGGACGAGGGGAGAAGGGTGTCGACTGGTCCCTCCTCTGTCCCTGGGATCCCATGTGCTCAGATCTTGCCACAGCTCCAATCTCTGGCAGTCTGCTCCCCGGGGGCACCCAAAAGGCAGTGGAACGATACTCCGTTGTCCTTGCTGAAGGCAGGAAGGCTGCAGTCTCAGGTTTGGCCCTCAGCAGAGCTCTGTGCTGCCCGACAGGGCTCTCCTTAGGGGAGTCAGCCTCGCCCGGGCTAATTTTACCCACCTCGTGGGACTTGCGTGCTCCTCTTTCAGATGAAATACCCTCATTTCAAACAAAGGGCGTTTTTTAATACCGGTGAAGCACTTGGTAGTTGCCACTGGCATTTGACTTGAACAAAGTGAAAGTCCTTGGTTTGTGCCCAGAGGCGGGCCTGGCCGGAAGCCGTGAGGAAGATGCCCGCTGCCCACTGGGCTCAGCCGGGGCAGGGTGGGCGTGGCGTTCCTCCTGATAAAAGAAGACGTTGACCGTTCTCCCATCTCAGGCCATGTGCCTTCGTCTCCGGACAGCCCGTTGATACTTGCTTCTGGTTTTGAACTTTTCTAGAGAGAGAAAGGCAACAGAACATAAACGCTTCATGAGAATCCAAACACTTTCCAACTCCTGAGGAGGGACCCCCTTCAGAATAGGAGAGTCTGTGCACTGCAGTTTGGATTTGGATTTCCAAGTGAGCTGTTGACAGCTTGCAAACGCCTAAATCTTGGTCTTCTGTTCCTTTGCAGCAAACCCTGGTTTCTTTCATTATTGCAGGGACAGATCTAGAGCATTCACTTCTTGGCAGCGTGCTACGGCTGCAAAGACTTCTTTAGTACCTCCTTGATTCCAAACTGGAAAAGCGCCTGGAGATTTTGAGCCCATACGTACTGAGCCTACTCGACTCTGCCCATCGCACGATACCTCCCTACGCAGGCACATTTCCTCGTGATCCTCCAGGTGGTTGAAGGGAACATGGGCTGGGGGCTAGGAGTCCTGTGGTCTGCCCTGGCACCGTTGCTTGCGTGACCTTGGGCACTGTACTTCCCCCCCCCCCCCCCCCCCCCCCCCCCCCCCCCCCCCCACCCCCCGCCCTGCCCCCCGCCAAAGGCTTTCAGGGGAACTCAGGTGGACAAGTAACTCTCGGTTCCTTTGCTGCTCTGACTCTGGCAATGGCTTCATAGCCCATCAGCTACCAAGATGAAGTGCAACAGGTCAGCCGATCGGGGACCCAGAGGAAATGGCTCAGAGAGGCCCCTGGGCAAATACCTGAAAGGCAGAAATAGCCACCCATCCAGAGAAGAGGAATCTTTGTAATGGTTTAGTGACCACTCACATTCAGATGCTTTCCAGTTCACGGTGCCGCTTGGTCACAGAATAGGAAATTAAGTTTGAGGTTGTGCCCCTCTCGCCTCAAGTTTGTAAAATTTTCCGTTTCCAGACCACAGGCCGTGCGCTCCCGTATACCGGTAGGTCACCATGGATAACTGTTCAGGTTGTACACGGTGCAAAGGCACCCAGCTAAGAAGGCAAATGAGGCTCATATCCAGATTAACGCCAGGCCAGAGGTCATCTCACCTTAGGCGGCTGGAGCGGATAGCGGCCTGCGGAGGAACGAGGCAGCTGTGAAGCAGAGGCTAAGAGCATAGTGGAGTGCTTAAGTGCTGGAGACAGGTCGCCTGAAGCGAGTCATGCCATCTTGTAGTTAGGCGACCAAGGACAAGCTGTTTATTCGCATTGGTTTCCCCGTCTGTAAAATGGGATAACAATAGTCCTAACTCCTGGGTTGATACAAGAATTAAACAATATGTTAAAAGTTAGCATGGTACCTGGCACGTAGTCGCTGATCAATAAAAACATTAGCTACTATAAGTTGGAGGCCAGAGTGCTAATCATTCACCGTTCTCCTCTCAGGAGATGTCCTGACCAAGAGTCGGACGTTTTTTAATCCACGAGCGTCCCATGCCCTCACTTTACGGGGCGGGACATCCTCATGCTCCTGCCCAAGTCCGAGTCCTGCATGTAAGAGGAGGGCTGGCTCCTGGCCCAGTCTTCTTGGAGGTTCAGGGAACACCAGAGCAAGGACCCAAGAACATGCGACCTTTCCAGTGTGACCGCCCTGCCCCCTGGCTAACTGTGCTCCAGTGGCTATGAGGCCTTTGCGGTCACTTAGCCAGTCAGGATGGTCCTCTGCACGGGAGCTGTCCTTACCCCCCAACCCCCCAACACTTGCCTTCAAGATAAAAGATTTGACCTAGTTCCTGCTTTAGGAGTCTTGGTGAGAATATGGAGAGTGGGGAGGGCTGTACGTCTGGGACTTCCCTGCCAGCTGGGAGTCCTGTGGCTTCGTCTGAGAGCCACCCCCTCTGCATGTGGCCGCATCACAGGAAGATGGCAGAGCCTTCTGGTCACATCTGTCCTCTCGGTTGACACTGAAGTTCATGGTGACCACACCCAAAGTGAGGACCAACATCTGGGAAAAAACACTCAGCTCCATCCACCTACTGGGTTCTTCACTCCTGGCCAGGTGGAATAAATTTGTCTCTGTGCTTCGTGAAGCTCTGAGACTTTTTTAGATGAAAAAGTCAAATGTGGAAACCTGGTTGGCAGAAAGGTCCCTCACAGTTGTTGGTGCAGAAATATGCTTCTGGGTGGCTGAGTGTTCCAGAATGCACGGAGCGTCTTGCCCACAGTGAGGACTGACAGGGCAGCAGGAACACCAGAAAGGTGTTTTGGAGTTCACCATGCTGAGCGAGGCCCGAAGGCCCCGAGCCCGGAGCAGGCAACTTCCCAGTAGCAGGTGTGCTGGGGTGGCCGGCAGAGTTTTCTATCAAGGCCATGCGAGGTGGCATTGCGAGACTGTGGCATCGTGACCAAGGTTGCTTACCTAGGATCCCAGCCATATTTCTGAGCTCAGTTGAAATGTTGCCTCTTCTGGGTGTGTGCGCCCTGGACTCGCTCCCACCGGTGTCAGAGGACGTCCAAACGCCCAACTGCCTTCCCGGCTCCACCCCTGCTCGTACTCTCCTTGTCTGTGGAGCTGCGTGACCAGAGGCATCACGGAAGAGGGGGCCTCACCTGGGTTTGAATCCAGTGCAGCCACATGTTAATTGTGTGACACTGGCCATACGGCTTCACCTTTCTGAGCTTTAGCCCCTTATCTGTAAAATAGGAATAATAGTCACTCTAGGGCGTTGTTTGAAAGATTGAACGTAGGGCATGAGAACATTTGACATGTACTAGGCATTTAATGGTAAATATTGCCTTTTTTTTTTTGTAGACTGTAAGCTCTTTAAAAAAAATCTTGTTCTTCTTATCCCCAGCACCTGGCACAGTGCCTGGGACATAAGTAGGTACTCAGTAAATGTTTATTCAAGTCAAATGAATTACTTTTAGCACAAGTGGTTCTCAAAATTTCTTTTGTCCTTTTATTGTTCCCTAAATAACGTTAACCCATGTTTTGACTTCTGTTCTTTTAATGAAAGAGCTGCAGAAGACATCACACATCCCAAAGCGGGACCGTGTGCGTGTGATGCAAGAGGTCTTTGGAAATCTACGTGCCTAGATCTGGTTGATGCTGTAAGAACAAGCTGGCTTTGATGACCCATCAAATATGCTTTTTTTTTTTTTCCCTTCCAGATTCTTAGAATTTGCACCAGGTATACCCCAGAACAAGACACCATGACTTTTTCAGATGGCCTTACCCTAAATCGAACTCAGATGCACAATGCTGGATTTGGTCCTCTGACTGACCTTGTGTTCACCTTTGCCAACCAGCTCCTGCCTTTGGAAATGGATGACACAGAAACAGGCCTTCTTAGTGCCATCTGCTTAATCTGTGGAGGTACCAACTACCTAGAAAACCCTCATGAGATTCCATGAAGAACAACTTGCACTTGTCATTCATGGGAAATTCCCATCTCCATTCCAGAGTTATTTTGCATGGAAAAAGACACGTGAATAAATAGCCAGGCATGCATGCTTGGGGTCTGTTGCATTTTTCCATATGGTTATAAATTAAATAAAGGTACTTGGGATCCTGTTGCTCTGAAATACCACAGTGCTATTTCTCCAGTTGCCACAGGTATTATTTCAAAGGTAGGATCAGACTGTTGTAAAATAAATTGCCCAGGGACATTTTAATGATAATGCTAGGGACTTGATTGTGCTGTTTGCTACTTTAGTGGCTGGGACTACAATTCATTGGTTCGTCTCCCCCAACCCACCCCCACCCCAACGCCCAAACCTTGAAGGACCAGGATAAAATATGGCTTTCTGCTCTGTACTGACCCCTACTGGCTCACAGGAGGTTGAATCATAAGTGGTTAAAAAGTAATGGCTTTGATTACGGGGCCTGTTTACCTTGCTGTTAGAACCATCCTGCTCAAGGCTTGTTTGAATTCAGTTCATTAGTGACACCTCCTGGTCACAAGGAGTAATTCTCTTCCTGGAACAAAAGCAACCAGGCATCAGAATGTGCTTTTGACCAGCAAGAGGGACATGTTCAAGTATCACTGCCTAAAGCAGTTCCCTGTATCTTCAAAGTTGTGTATGTGATGGAATCATCACATTAATAAAATGATAATGTGCTGGGAGGAACAAGGACGCACGCTCACCTGGCAGGTGCGTGACTCTTGCTGCCCTAATTGTTTATCCTTTATTCCTGCTGTCTAGACCGCCAGGACCTTGAGGAACCAACAAAAGTAGATAAGCTACAAGAACCACTGCTGGAAGCACTAAAAATTTATATCCGAAAGAGACGACCCAGCAAGCCTCACATGTTTCCAAAGATCTTAATGAAAATCACAGATCTCCGCAGCATCAGTGCGAAAGGTAGGTCTCGAAGTCTATGTTGTATTCACCAAGTGGTCCTGACTTGTTTTTAAACTGATGTTTTCATTCAGGATGTTTGATAATAGCTGTCTTTTTGTTGTTGTTGTTCCGGAATTCATTTCTCACGGAAATCAGAAGGAATATAGTATTCACCCTTTAAAAAAAAAAAAAAAATACCTTAAATCTTACCCTGCTCGATGATCTTAATAGATTGAGTTTATAATTCAGATTACTAAGTAAATAGAAAAACTGTTTTCAGGAGAATGTACTCTATGACAGCCTTTTTCATCTCATGCCTTGGCACACATGCTCTGGTTGCTATAAACTTGACTCCAGTTTTTCCTGACCATCCAAACCTGGGGAAAACGAATAGTACTTAGGGCAGTTGTTACTGGCTGAAGTCTCTCTCTCCATCGGTGTTGCCGTTGCTATCTCGCGTGTAGGCAGATTTACTTCTGCACACTTCTCAGCAAAGGAACTCTTGCTCTCCTGAGAGGTATAAATATTCTTGGCCTAGTGATTTTCAGTTTGTGTGGCAACGCGAGCAATTACAGAAGTGCCTAGAGCTATATCACAGTTGAGTGTTAGCGTCCGGCTTTGCTGTGTGGAGAGAAAACTCGGCAGCTATCCCTGGTACTCAGCCTGCTGCGGTCCTTCTCCTTCCCCATTAGCCTGCTCTGCCCCTGAAGGCCTGGCCGAGCCAAGGAACCAACTCTGCATTTCACAAAGTGCTTAAAAAACACGGTGAATTTGTTGGACGAGGAGTCTCGATTCTTGAGCTACTTCGAAGAGGTTTCCTCGATGAGCCGTTCCTGAGTTCATCCTTAGCATGGGGTTCAGAGTCTCTGCAAACAGCAGATACCAGTGCTTGGCCATTAGAATTACGAGGTCTTTGATTTTAAAAACAGTGAGGCTGTTTAACTTAATACTGTCATTGTCTAGATCTAGCTAGGCCGGTGCTAATAGAATTTACTGTGATTATGGACATACTCTCTAATCTGCCTTGTCCAATACAAGGAGCCACTAGCTACACGTGGCTCTCGAGCACTAAAAAAGTGTCTAATTCAATCGAGGCACTGTTTGTCCTGATTGTAATGTAGCAAATTTAAATCGTCGCACGTGGCTAGTGCCTGTTGCCCCGGACAGGGCAGTGCTGCGTCCAAGTTGACAAGCCGCCCATTTGTCAGTTGTTACCTGTCGCTTCCTTCCTTTGCGGGTAACTGGTATCCTTGAAAACTGTCTTGTTGGAAGACACGCTCTTTCTGGTCTTTTATCAAGAACGTCTCTTTGTAAATTAAGTGAATATATGTTGACACTGTTTCCTACAACTGACTCGGGCATGGGAGCAGCACATTTAAGGAAGTCACCGCGTCTGTGCTGCTTTTCTATAGATGGAGTAGAAATATTTAAATGTCGTAAAATTAGGGTAGCCTCAGGAAGGCACTGGCAGCACGGTTTTCACCAAAACCCTCATTCAAGTCAGTGAAGGTGGAGCCTTAGTTCTTCAGCTTGACTCCTTATCTCTACCAGATTTCTATTATCTCTCTTTAAAAGGTGCAGAACGTGTAATTACCTTGAAAATGGAAATTCCTGGATCAATGCCACCTCTCATTCAGGAAATGCTGGAGAATTCTGAAGGACATGAACCCTTGACCCCCAGTTCGAGCGGGAACCCAGCGGAGCACAGTCCCAGCATCTCACCCAGCTCGGTGGAAAACAGCGGGGTCAGTCAGTCACCACTGGTGCAATAAGACACTTTCCAGCCACTTCAAACATTCCCCAGTACCTTCAGTTCCAGGATTTAAACCGCAAGAAAGAAACATTTTTACTGCTGCTTAGTTTTCGGACTGAAAATATATTAAAACTCAAGAAGGACCAAGAAGTTTTCATATGTATCAATATTTACTCCTCACTGTCTAACTTACCTAGAAATACAAACTTTTTAAATTCTAAAACTCAGCCATTTCGTGCAACCAGAAACTAGTTAAAAGCTTCTATTTTCCTCTTTGAACACTCAAGATTGCATGGCAAAGACCCAGTCGAAATGATTTACCCCGGTTAAGTTTCTGAAGACTTTGTACATACAGAAGTATGGCTCTGTTCTTTCTATACTGTATGTTTGGTGCTTTCCTTTTGCCTTGCATACTCAACCAAGACACCGAGGTTGCGGAACAGACTACTGCACGCGTCCAGCTGAGAGAGGCTCAAAAAAATAACTTGCTTTCACAGAGTAATCAGGACACCAAGGTAAGGAAAGGGGACTGTTGTACAGTATGACAAAGCTAGAGAGAAGTCTAATTTAGTTAGTACAGAAGCTTGTCCTTGCTCTTTCTGACGCTCTCAAACTGCGTCTTCTATTTCATGTTGCCCAGTAAAAAGATACAAATTCACTGCACTAGCAGAAGAGAATTCTGTATCGGTGTAACTGCCAGTTCAGTTAATCAGATGTCATTTGTTCAACTGTTAATGTCACTGTAAGAGTGGTTTATCTTAATGACATAACTACACAATTTTTTTTTTTAAAGATACATTTTTACAGTAATGGTAGCCTCCAAGGCAGAAACGCTTTTCAGTGTTAATAAGTTTTTGTTTACCTGTTCACAAGCCATTAGGGAAATTTCATGGGATAATTACAGACTGGTCTACCACCTACACCGTGTAACTCCAGTGTCCTTCCTCATTCATGCCTGGTATTGAGGGTTTGTTTTTTTTTTTTTCCCTAGCCTCCTTGATGCCCAGGGGCTAGTATGAACCCCTAAAGGCATGGACAGAGAATCTGCATCCTTTGACCTTGTTCAATCACTATGAAGCAGAGTGAAAGCTGTGGTAGAGTGGTTAACAGATACAAGTGTCAGTTTCTTAGTTCTCATTTAAGCACTAGTGGATTTTTTTTTTTTTTTTTTTTTTTTTTGATATATTAGCAAGTCTGTGATGTACTTTCACTGGCTCTGTTTGTACATTGAGATTGTTTAACAATGCTTTCTATGTTCATATACTGTTTACCTTTTTCCATGGAGTCTCCTGGCAAAGAATAAAATATATTTATTTTAAGAGTGTATGGGAGCTTTTACTACACTTCCATCTTTAGTAAAGACACAGAGTACACAGTTCCATTTTTAATGTTTAAATTTCATTTCAAAAAGCAGGTCTGTAGTCTGCAACCATGACAATTAAAATCTGTGCTAATGCACGGCAGTCTATAACAATTCTACAAGCCAATCAGACAGTACATGACATTTCAATGAGTAAAAAAGAGCATAAAACCGTATGTGTAAGAACAAAATGTTAAAAGGCCTACCACAATAATAAAAAACCATCAATTACATCATCACATTAAAATAAGCCAGATGTACAAAAGTCTGAGACAGAAAAGACAAAAGGACAACACAATTTATCTGTTGAAAAATGTTTCTGTGCTCTTTGGGCACTTAATTAAACATTGCAAAATCAACATCTTCTTCATCATCGGACTCTGCAAAATATTTTACTTCTTTCCTAGCCCGACCGCTCCGTGGCAGAGAAGGTGCTTCAGAAGTGAAATCTGATGGGAAGATGTCCACATCTGAATCCTGATCAAAAGAGGTTTTCTTCATTTTCTAGACATGGTTTAAAGAAAAAAAAGAAAAAAGGAAAAGACTAATGTTAAAAATAATTATTCCTTATACTTCACTTACATTCGAGAAATAATACAAATAACAAGGCTTCTAAAATCATAATTGTAATGCTAACTTAAGTTACCTTTATAAAAATGATGAAGTATAATAATCTGCCACCGTGGTGATATTTTTTTCTGAATTTCTCTATTACCAAGCAACTATGCACAGTACCCAGATTAGTACAAATTATTTACTTGTAAGTACCTCTCAATTCATGAAAGGAAAACAAAACTTATGCACAGTATTTATTATAAAAATGCAGCGAGGAGTCACCAAGATGGACCAGACACATGGAAGACTGGATGGAAAAGGCCAAGGTGGAGAATGGCGTGAAGCTAAAGTCATGTTTGTATTTTTACATTTTAATAGGGAGAGAAGAAAAAGGACACTGGATGTTTTTCTTTTACCTATAAAAAAGATTGTGTGCTCCTGGAGAAAGGTCAGACTGAAAATTAGCCTCAAATGAATTCAAGTTAAAAGAAAAAAATCAGAGCCTGGGCAAATAAATCCAAGCTAAAAAGAAACAGCCTTTATTTGGTCTGAAAAGTATTTCAGACACATAGCCAATAACTTCAATCGTTCATTGGATGGAATAGAATACTCTTAATTAAGTAGGCTCATTTATGCCAGACTTTTACCCAAGAAATAGTCCTGATTGTATGCATCTTATACTTGGATAATTCTTTTAACTATACATAAGTGCCGTATGCGTAAGAGAGGCTAGGTTTAAAGTGTTAGAAGACCTTATAGTAATAAGCCAACTAAGCCAGTTATAGATCATCGTAAAACAATGCATAAAAAGATGTTCCTGATTACCTTGCTTGGTGTTTTGGATGTTTTCCTGCCAGGGTTATAATCACCTTCATTTTCAGAGCCAGATGCTTTCCTTTTCTTTGCTCCTCGGCCTTTACCTTAAAATGACACAAAGGGGTTTTTTCCTCCCAAGGTTAAAGTACAGTATAAAAAGAGAAATGTCACAACATTATAGTTCACTTCTTTGGCATGCCCCAATCAGTACTGCAATCCTGGTCTCTAAATATAAATGATGTAGAAACTATTTGGTGGCATCATTTCAGTTTTGGGATTGATGGGACGAAAGAGTATTTCACAAATACATTTAAAACTAGTTGGAAGGTCCTGGTGACAAATTTTAATGACCAAACTCCTGATACACAAGAGAAAACATTTACATTTTGAACATGTGGTCTTTGTGCCTAAAAAGAAAATGTCTTGTTGCTTTTTAACTTGTATGTGATGAAAACAAGTTTTAGTTTCTAATTTGTCATAGACTAGTACTTTTAAAAATACAATATGAATTACTAGAAAATACATATTTTCTTATTAGCACAAATTATGTTTAAATGTGTAGTCCAAATTTTACTTATGCACTAGTAACAACCAACTGCAGATCCCATTTTAGGTAGCACAGTCTTAGAATAAACCCCGAGTATTAATCATAATCTGTCAAATCCATGTTCCTTCTCAGACTTAAAAGCACCACATGCAGCTATTTTTTTTTTCTACCTAACTAACCTCTTATTCTCACTGGAGGAGAAAGGGGGGAAAAGTAATATGCAAATGGTGACAAAATATTCTACATCCTACAATGATGCCAGTGAAAGAGAAAATGGACCTAAACTGCCATTCTAAATTTTAAAATTCTTTAAGAGCTATGACGAACCAGATTGTACTAGTATGGATAGCCTAAACAATCTTGGGATGTCCTATTTTATCAAATGAATCAATGAAACGGCACTTCTGAATCTTTAACAGTTTCAAGCCAGGCATAACAGAAGTACTGATCTCCTCAATCACTGTTTCTTTTTTGCCCCTATTCTCCCTTGTTTCCATGTAGCTATCTCCTTATCCCAATCACCACTCTAAATACACTGATGGTAAATCTGTCAGTTGGGAGAAAAGGCTGAGCGGCTACCCTCAGAAAAAACTATCTTACACATATTTTTTAAAAAGCACCTTTGGGGCGCCTGGGTGGCGCAGTCGGTTAAGCGTCCGACTTCAGCCAGGTCAAGATCTCACGGTCCCTGAGTTCGAGCCCCGCGTCGGGCTCTGGGCTGATGGCTCAGAGCCTGGAGCCTGTTTCCAATTCTGTGTCTCCCTCTCTCTCTGCCCCTCCCCCATTCATGCTCTGTCTCTCTCTGTCCCAAAAATAAATAAACGTTGAAAAAAAAAAAAATTTTAAAAAATGCACCTTTGAGGACTTTTCTAGATTCTGGAAGGAAATGAGGGTTCCAGGATGAAGAACTGGTTCCTAGATGAGCAAACAACAGCTCCAGTGTACAAGTCCCAGCTCCTGGGAATGGTCACTCTCCACTTGGCAAGGAGCCCTCATCTGCCTTCTCAATAACTACTCCCAGTGAGTCTGTGCAGGGGGTCTCTGAACCATTCTTAGGTATGTAAGTTGTTTACTTAACTTCCGAGTCGTAATTCCTTGATTCCTAAAACAAAGCACTAGACTTCCTCTGGACTCTAATTCAGCACTAATTCTTAAACATATTCCTTGTTGAGGAGTAAAGCAATTTAAAACAAAACAGTACAGTCTTTCTAAATTCAATGAGAAGAGACGAAATGACATCCATTAGAGGGTTAAACATAATCCTCACCTTTTGGGGGTGTACTCTTCTTTGGAATGCCGAATTCTGAATCTGAGTCAGAGTTTATAGTCTCTACTTTCTTCTGTTTAGGGGTTCTCTTGGGCTTAGCAGTTGTATCTGAAGATGGTTTTCCTATTAAGCAAATTTCCATTTCATAAATCAATGTAATACACTTACCAGCAAACCATGCTCAAGCGAATCCTGTAACAATGGAATTTCTTACTGCTGATAGGAAATTGAGTAGCCTTACATAACAAAATGGTTTCTCTTCCCTTGGTGCCAGTATAAAGCCAAACAATTTCTCACAGATGACACCATGCTTTTTATTTAATTATGAACAATATGCCTTTTGCTATTTCGTGGGAGATTATTTTAAACAAAGGCCATTAATGTGAATTAAGCAGGAACTTTTCAAAAGCAGTAGTAAAAATATAGTCATAATAGAAAAGTAACATATTTGACATTAATTACAACTCAAGTATA